AGTCCAATAATTTTACCAGAATATGTCTTGGTGGTGTTGGTCATCCAGGCTTGATTTCTGAGGTAGGTGGTGTACCCTTTCAGTATGCAGTCTCAGATGTTTGTTTTTAATTTCAGTAAAAATGTCTTTACTTATAGGCTTCACTTTTTCTGTTCCCTTGTTTTCTTTGCCCATCTTCTATATTTGTCACATCCTCCTGAATAATTTTTATCCACCTTCATGTTTTCTAAGATGTTCAAAAAAATATACTTATTTATTTTAGAGAGTGTGTGTGTGTGCGCGCGAGCGGGAGTAGGGGCAGAGGGAGAGAGAGTGAGAGAATCTCAAGCAGACTCCCCGCTGAGTGCGGAGCCCAACTCGGGGCTGGATCCCAGGACCCTACTAAGATCATGACCTGAGCTGAAGTCAAGAGTTGGCTGCTTAACCCACTGAGCCACCCTGTCTCTGTCTGGGTCAATGTGGCGTCTATGTGCCCCAGTTGCTCCTCAGAGTGGGACTTGGCCCTGGAAGGGAACTTTGGATTGTTTTGAGAGTTCATGGGGCCTGGGCAGCTCCCAGGCTCTACCGTGGACTCCTTGCACTCAGTCACTATTTGAAAGGGCAAACCCCTGCCAGTCTTAGTTGTTGTTCATAAATTAGCTTGCTGAGGTTTGAGTTATTTTAGAGTTCTCAGATCTATCAGATGTCCGGCTGGTTCCCTCTCCATACCCCTCCATAACTGATTCCATTGTGCTCTTGTAGCTGTCTCAAATTTGTCCCACCCATTCGTATTTCGGGGTTCACGGGGGAATCATTTTGATCCGGTTCTGTCATAGATTGTGTCTGTGGATTTGGCTGTTGCTTCCCTCCTTACCCTAGTTACCTTTCCTACTTGTGTTTTCTATGGTGGCATTTGGGGACATTTAAAAACTATGCTGCTGGGCGCCTGGGTGGCTCAGTCACTGGGTGTCCTGCCTTCAGATCAGGTCATGGTCCCAGGGTCCTTGGATCAAGTCCCACATCGGGCTCCCTGCTCAGCGGGAAGCCTGCTTCTCCCTCTCCTACTCCCCCTGCTTGTGTTCCCTCTCTCGCTGTGTCTCTCTGTCAAATAAATAATTAAAATCTTAAAAAAAAAAAAAAAACAACTATGCTGCCAGGGCGCCTGGGGGGTTCAGTCGGTGAAGCGTCTGCCTTCGGCTCAGGTCATGATCCCGAGGTCCTGGGATCGAGCCCCGCGTCGGGCTCCCTGAATCTGCTTCTCTCTCTCCTTCTGCCTGCCATTCCCCCACCTTGTGCTTGCTCTCTCTCTCTCTGTCAAATAAATAAAATCTTTAAAAACAAAAACAAAACTATGCTGCCAACCACTACCTTCCTCCCAGGATTCCTCTGTAAACTACGGACCACGGGCCACATCTTGTCTGCCGCTTGCTTGTCTACAGCCTGCAAGCTAAGAATGGTTTTTATACGTTTAAATAGTTGACAAGACCTAAAGAAGAATATTTTGTCCTAGCACATGAAAATTATCTGAAATTCAGATGTCAGCATCCGTTAAAGTTTTTTTGGAAGACAGTCACACCTGCTTATTTACATGTTCTCTGTGGCTGTTTTCATGCTATAACAGCAGAGTGAGTTTTGGGGACAGAGACTCAAAGCTGAAAATATCTATTATCTGGCCATTGACAGAAGTTTGCCAACCCTGGTCCTATAATATACTTTTTTAATGGCTAAATAGTATTCCATTGTGTGAATATATCATGATGTACTTAACCAAGTCCCTATTATTGGGCATTTAGATCAATTCTAAATTTTCATCATTATAGGCATCATTTCATAGCTATATTAGCATATATATTTTATTATTTGGGGGAGGGATATATTGTTACAGGTAAGATTGCTGGATCAGAGGAGATTATGTTTTTTAAACTCTTTGATTAATATTGACAAATTGTCATCCAGAAAGGATATACAGGCTAAATATCTATTAAGGATACTGATTCAATAAATTATGGTGCCTTCATGCGATGAAATATTGTGCAGAGGGTAAAGAAAATGAGGTAGCTTAATTTTACTGATATATAAAAGTCTGTAATACATGCTGCTAAATTAAACACCCTGGTTACACGCGTAGAGTATGATTCCTTGAGATTAAGGAAAGGGGGGCAATTAGAATACATACTTTTAGCTTTTTCACAAGAAGCATAGATTACAAGTAGGTTATACCAGCGTACACACCCAGCCATAGTATGTCTGAACAGTGGTTTTGCCATGCTTTTGTCAGTCTCTTTTTTTTTTTTTTAATTCTTGCCAATTGACAGACAAGAAAAGGGCATCCTGTTTTCATTTTATATATCAACTTTTGTATTGTTTTGTATGTTTATGGGCTTGAATTCTTTTGTGAAATTCTTGTCCATTGTCCATTTCTTTTTCCTTGCCATTTTCATGTTTTGGAAACTTGGTAGTTTGTAAAGCTCTTTAAAAAAAAAGATTTTATTTATTTGGGGGAGAGAAAGAGAGCAAGAGAGAGAGAGAGTATGAGCAGGGGGGAGGGGGGAGGGGCAGATGAAGGAGAAGCAGGTTCCCCGATGAGCAGGGAGCCCGATCCGGGGGGCTCGATCCCAGGACCCTGGGATCATGACCAGATGCTCCACCAACTGAGCCACCCAGGTAGGTGCCCCTGTAAAGCTCTTTTTATCTATCAGCTATTAATCCTTTGCTTGTTGTCCGTTTGCCTCTGTGTAGTATTTAGGGTATTTAATGGTGTTTTTCTTTTTTTATGCATTCAAATCTTCCTGTATTTTTTGTGTGCAGGAAGCCTTTTTCCATCTCAGATTGATGTGCTTGTTGCCCACTATATTTTTCTAGTTCTTATTTGATTTTGTTTTTTACACTTAGGTCTTTCATCCGTAGGGAATTTATCCACGTGGGCTGTCAAGTAGGGTTTAACCTTATTTTTCAAATGCTTAGCCAGTTGTCTTAGTGCCATTTATTGAATAAGCCATTATTTCAAGGTTATGTAATTTTTTTCAGACTGTTTCTTATTAGATCCTGTGCATTTCACATTTTCAAAAGCCAGGTTTGTTGATTTGATTTATGTAAAATACAATTTCTTCTTTTTAAGCATGCAGTTATTCTGTACGGTTGTGGTTGTAGCAGATGTGTGCAGTTTTGTCGCCACCGCTCATGCCGGTCAAGATCTAGAACATTTTCATCGTCCTCCAAAAGGGTCCCTCGTACCCCTTTGTAGTCAGTCCCCTCACCCCTGACCTTGTACTCTTGCCACCACTGATCTGTTTTGTATCCCTAAATTTTTGCCTTTTCTAGAATGTCTTACGAATGGAATCCTCAAACACATAGCTTTTGGGATCTGGCTTATTTCACTTAGCACAGTGCATTTAAGAGATATCCGTGTTGTTGTGTCTATCAGTGGTTCATTCCTTTTCGTTGTCGAACAACATTCCGTGATATGGCTATACCACAGTTTTATTTTACTGTTCACTTGTTCAAGGACAGTGGGCTTGTTTCCAGTTTGGGGCTTTTTTGAAGAAAGCTACTATACACATTCATGTATGTGTCTTTATGTAGACATAGGTTTCTACTTCTCTTGGGTAAATACCTAGGGGTGGGACTCCTGGGTCATGAAGTAGATGTATGTTTCATTTTATAAGGAACCATCCAACTGTTTTCCATGGAGGCTGTGCTATTTTACATTTCCACCAACACTATAGGAGAGACCCGGTTACTCTGCATCTTTGTCGGCACTTGGGAATGTCAGTATTTTTTTATTTTAGCCATTCTACTAGGAATATGAGGGTTCAATCACTTATTTAGAATAATTTGGATATTTTCAGCAGTTTCTCTCAACTCGTCCCTGCCTGTGCTTTCTAAGACCGGGTGCTCCCAACCTGCTTAGTCCATCTCTCATTAGACAGCCCGAGGCAGCGGAAGCATCACTTTTGCTCTTGCTTCTGTTTTTCTGCTTTCCCTTTCCTTTCCTACTAGGCTTCTTAAACCAGAAAACGTCAGCGCAGAGGAGCTTAGAAATAATCTAGCACAGGGGTGGCAAACTTTTCCTGTAAAGAGCCAGAGAGGGAACATTGTTGACTCACCCGGCCATTCGGTCTTAGTCATGGCAACTCACCTCTGCTGTGGTAACCTGAAAGCAGCCACAGAGGGCACAGAAGCGAGGAGGCGTGTCGGGTGCCGATAAAACTTTATTTACAAACAGGCAGCCTATTGGATCCAGCCCTTCCACCACAGTTTGCTGACCCCTGGTTTGGTCCAGCAACTTTATTTTACAGATGAGGCGACTGAGCTCAGGTTCTACCCTTTCCCTTGTTTTGTAAGTAAAGAAGGCAAAGGCCAGGATACTGGCTTTTGCCATTAAGAGACACACTTAACATTGAGCTCAGGATGAACTTACCTTTGAGTGCATGATTCCCGGTTCAAGCAAATTCATGTCTAGCATGAAACTGTTAATATAGGGTCTTTCAAAAGTTTTAACTGCACTAAGACTTTTGGGGACATTTTATATATTGCCATTGACCTCAACGCTGGTTGACTTTTTGAGCCTATTATCTCTGGGGCAATGGCCAAATTTGAGTGGCAAGAAAATGAAGGTAGTAACAGTTAATGGAAGAAAAGCACGCCACCCTTATATTCTTCTTCTTCAAAAGACTGTGTTTCCAGTTTTGGAGATGTCTACTTTCTCTCTCAAGATAGCTATCAGACATCATGTAACAATCCCACACTCTCCCCTCCCCCTTGAATGTTAATTCCCGATGGTTTTGTTTCATGAATTGTTCAAATAGATGAAGATTCTTAGTAAAAAAACAAAACAAACAAACAAAAACAACCCCAAACCAAAACCGTAACAGGATAACATACACTCCTGGTTCCAACACATAAACCTAAAAATAAGCCCTGGCCGCTGGTCCTCAGGGAGAGAACATTATTTACAAGAGTCATCGTGTGTGTGTGTGTGTGTGTGTGTGTGTGTGTGTGTGTGTGTGTTTTCCTTCCAGCACTGGAAGAAGTATGACATCTATGAGAAGCAAACCAAAGAAGAGACCGACTCTGTGGTGCTGATAGAAAACCTGAAGAGAACCTCTCAGTGACGGGGATATTTATTTTAACCTTCAGCATGACCTTGTGAAGATTCATCCCATTCTGCATTTGTTATCTGGGAACTCGTGAAACGGAAACTGAAACTACTGGGCCATTTAAAAACAGGCAGCTCAGAAGAGCCGCGGTCTTTCTGTTGAATGGAGCACTGAGAAACTAAACGTAAGGGGCTCTTTGGTGAAGAGAGTGGAGTCCTTGTTGTCGAATTGTGAAAGCAGACCGCCCTCGCGACGCCTTCAAAGTCAGGGACAAAGCAAACAGCGATGATGGCGGTAGAGTTAATCTTACCAAGAGTTGTGACAACTGAGGGATCTGTGCCTGCTTTGTATTCTCTGTGTCCAACAAAACCAACACATTCGATTTTGTGTGAAACTCATTTTGGGTGCAGTTGCTCATGCCAGCCCCTGAGTCACAGAGAACTTCTAGCAAACGAAATTGATAAAATCTGTTATCTGTTGCTTGGGATCTTGTGGAGGAATGTGTGTGGCTCTGAAACCTCTTAGCAGCCTGGAATCCTCATCGCCGTGAGCAGCAGGTGTCTCCGCTTGGAAAGGCTCGGACATCAGCCCTGGCCCCGAGGAGGGCACCTCCAGAAAAAGCAGAGGCCGCTCCTTTCCTGACACCTTTCAAAGCCACGGCAGGCTTTTGGGGGCCCCCGTAGCGGGTGGCAGGACTTGCTGGGTGTGAGGGTGTGCAGCCCATGCCTTCTTCCCTTCCACTGCTCAGAGCAGATGCTCGCCCCCCCCCACCCCCCGTGCCCCTGCACTTGGCCCCCAGCCCGGAGGCGCCGCTCACTCGGACGGACGACAGTTGGGCCGAGACCCCTCTGTCCTTACCACTTTATCTCCACCGGTCAGGTGCCAGACCTTGGCCGTCCACGTGCACCTTCATTCCCGGCAGCCAGCGGGTCTTTCCCTTCTGGCTAGAAATTAGGACGTAAAGCTGCGCAGAACACCTAGAGGGGCAGGGAGTAATTTGCATCTCAGGTAAAGTGTGAGGAGACTAAGAAACAATGACTGATTCTTGCATATTTTGTAACTTCTGCGTTGAGTCTGCATTTCTTGGAAGGTTTTCAGTGTGTACTATTTCTCTATGCATTTTCTAAGCAGAAACGAGGTATTATCTTCACTTCGAGCTTTGCTCTTGGCTTCAGAAAGGAATAGTTCCGTCTTCCCCTTTTCCCTTCCAGCCACGACTGGTTATGAGTAGGTTTTGCTTCTTGTATGGACAACATCTGAGGCTCCAACATTTGTATTTTTTTTTTTTTGCATACTCAGTTAGGGTTCCATTCTCACCCAGCCCTGCATCAGACCCACAGAGATGCTCCCACCACTCCTCCTCCTTCCTCCAAATTTAAAGAAGCGTGGAAGCGAGAAGCCCCCCCCCCCCCCCCCCCGAGTCTCTCTCCCCCGACGCACGGACTCCGATCCCTGATAAGAACTTGAAAATGTGATACCGCAGGTTCTCCAGACACTCACCCGTGGGCAGCAATCAGATGTTGCGACTTGCAGCTCCTGCTTTTAGGGGACGACAGGAGGTCAGAGGTTTGGGCCCAGGTGGCCACCGGCTGGCACGGCCGCGGAGGAGGAGTGTGCCCTGGCTTGTCGGAGGAAATTGTGGGCCAGGGGTAGATGTCAACGTGTTTCCTCCCTGTGCCTTTTTTTTTTTTTTTTTTTAGGTCAGATTGAGGTGAGAGACAGGCAGAGTAGATGTCCCACCTTGTTCTGCAGTTCTCTAGAGAGAGCATTTGGTTTTCCTGTGTCGGAATGAGATTCTCTCCCAGTCAAGTCTATTTTAATTCTGGAAAGCAAAACACCTACATGCCTCAGCCAGGGCCATTTTTCCTGATATCCTATTTAGATGGCAGTGAGGGAGGGGATGCTTTGGGATCATGGTTCCCCAAGGGACTGCAGATGGTGACAGTCACAGCCCGGGAGCGGGAACATCACACTTGGTTTCCATTCTCCGCTTTGAGCAGTCAGATAGTTGAAGGAAAGGGGGGCAGCAAACTACAGGAGTACCTATGGCTGTTGGAGAATTGCTGAAGAGTGATTCGCCCGGTGTTGGGAGCTCTCGGGAACTTGAGTACATCAGTGGGATTTCCATAACCTGTAGGAAACACGTAGGTTCATTCGCTGTGTCATGCCTAAACTATATGGATTATCTTTCCCTCCACCCACCTAAGTAAACCCAGTGTAAGGATGGTCATTCTTATTCTTTCATTCAGATAAGTTTTTCCTCTATCTGGGCACTAAAGGGATACGCGAAACAATGTTAAGAATATTTTTGGTAATGCCTTCAACTAGGGATCATTTTGTTCAACTTCTTATAGGAAAGTTTGAGTGAAATAAATACTGTCTTTTTGTATGTCACCCACATGTTCTCCTTTGGTCTTATTTTGGGGTAAAGCGTTGTGAGGAGTGGGTGGCGGAAAAATTGGAGTTAAAAGAATAAATGTTGTGGGGAAAAAAAAAAATCCAAAACAGCTATTTTATCTTACAGTCATTTCTTATAAGCTGCTCTGCTGTTCTCGGTGCGCCTGTGTTTTCTGATAAGAACATGCACCGAGTTTAGTATCAGCGGTACCTAAAGGGACGCAAGTATTTGATAAACCGTAGTTGTGGTAATTAAGGGAAATGCACTGCGGGGTGGCTGCAGGGCGGGGGTGGGGGGCCCAGGAGGGAGAGCGGGGTCCGCAGGTACAGCTGAGGCAGCTCCACGGGGCAGGCGGCTGCAAGGGGCTCCATCTGTCGTCGTTCCAACGGCAGGACAGCAAAGTATGTCATTGCCAAAGACGGGGTGGGGGTGGGGGCGACTCTGCCGGCTGCCTGCGCATCTCCATCCTGACATACCTGGTGGTTTGGGCGGTCCTGGTGAAGAAGGGTTACCAAGACTGCAACACCTCCCGGCAGAGCAGCGTGTCACCATAGTCAAGGGCGTGACCTTCACCAACACCACCTTAGAGCTCGGGGAGCGGCTCTGGCCTGTTGCCCACGACGTCATCCCACCGCGGGGAGAGAGTGTCTGTCGTCACCAACCTGATTGTGACCCCCCACCAGCGGCAGGAAACCTGTGGGAAAAGAAAAAGAAATACAAGTGTACACGTGCGTGCACACACACACACGCATACACGCGCACATTCTTGAGACTGTCCTGGTATACATGATGGGGGACCCCCAGTTAGAAATTAGTCACATGAGCAGGTGAGATTTGAGCCTAATAATCAGTTTTCAATAACTGTCCTCTTAAGAGATGGTAATGTGGTTTCATATTTTCTATAACTATAGCAAAATGGTTTCAGTGTCATGGAGGGTTTTTTTTTTCTCATTCGCGTTGTTAAAAGGAAAACCACGGGCCCAGCATGGTGTCACTTAACCCAAGTCAGTAAGCCAAGACTTAATACGTAACTGCAGTTTCAGCCTTTAACCTTTAACCAGTCAACATGGAATTTCCTGCTCAGCACTAGGAATTTTACTGATAGACCCTTTCCGTTCCCTTTGGGAGGATGACCTTGCTTAAAACAATGGATTCCTTGCTAATAATTTCCTTTTTTCCACTCCCTATCTTTATTATTAATTTTTTTTAGAGAGGTAAGGTGGAGGAGGGGCAGGAGAGGGAGAGAGAAAGAATCTTCAGCAGGCCCCACACCTGGAGTGGAGCATGGAGTCACCTATGTGGGGCTCGATCTCATGACCCTGAGATCGTGACCTGAGCTGAAATCCAGAGTCGGACACTTAGCCAGCTGAGCCACCCAGGCGCCCCTCACTCTCTGAAACAAATAATGCAACATATGTTAAGGAAGAAAAAAAAAAAAAAGCAGGAGGGGAAGAATGAAGGGTGGGAAATCGGAGGGGGAGACGAACCACGAGAGACGATGGACTCTGAAAAACAAACTGAGGGTTCTAGAGCGGAGGGGGGCGGGGGGATGGGTTAGCCTGGTGATGGGTATTAACGAGGGCACGTACTGCATGGAGCACTGGGTGTTATGCACAAACAGTGAATCATGGAACACTACATCCAAAACTAATGATGTAATGTATGGTGACTAACATAACAATAAAAATTTTAAAAAGTCTTTTCTTGGGGCGCCTGGGTGGCTCAGTCGTTAAGCATCTGCCTTCGGCTCAGGTCATGATCCCAGGGTCCTGGGATCGAGTCCCGCATCGGGCTGCCTGCTCTACGGGAAGCCTGCTTCTCCCTCCCCCACTCCCCCTGCTTGTGTACCCTGTCTCGCTTTGTCTCTCTCTGTCAAATAAATAAATAAAATCTTTAAAAATCTTTAAAAAAATAAAAAAGCCTTTTCTTTTCTGTGGCTCTTTTTTTAAGATTTTATTTATTTGACAGAGACAGCAGGAGAGGGAACACAAGCAGGGGGAGTGGGGGAGGGGAGGGGGAGGGAGAAGCAGGCTCCCCGCTGAGCAGGCAGCCCGATGCGGGGCTGGATCCCAGGACCCTGGGATCATGACCTGAGCCGAAGGCAGACGCTTAACGACTGAGCCACCCAGGCGCCCCTCTGTGGTCCTTTTGAACTCTTCTCTACGTATTAGGTGCGGATGCTGCTGGATTCATGAGTCAAATAATAAAGCCGATTAGATCTTTCAAATTTACTTTGTTGAGTTTTTGTTATTTAACAGTGTTAAGCTCTAGGAATGGGTCTTTAGCCAGACCACATTTATTAATTACCCTGAATCTTTACAAGATCCAAACCCTAGGGGGTGGGTAGGGGCTGCTGAGCTCGGTGAGGTTATTTCTGTAACTATCTAGAATGATCCAAGAAGAGTCTGGAAATCTGTCTCCAGGTAAGTATAGTTGTGTTTTTAATAAGAAAGCTTTGCTGCTTAATACATCAATATACTGAGTATTATGACAGAAAACATTTGAGTACAGACACTTGAGGTTGCTTATCTATATGAGATCTATGGAAAACACATTTTTGTAGTCATAAACATGTTCACCTTGTCTCGGGGAGAGGAGCCAGAATGATTGAAGTACATTTGATTTCCAGAGTAATTTACCATTTTGTCATTTCCATGAAGTCCTGCTCGTTTCCAAGCTCACATAAGAAACACATTATGCCATCAGAGTATTAGTAGTTTCAGAAGAAAGCAAGGAAACAAGAACACTTATTTCAGAGACTCTTCTTTTAAACCCTGATGATTAGATCAAGCAGTAAGTTTCTTGTAAATACTGTAGCTAAGTCATGGCATGCTTTTACTTTAAGCGAGGGAGGAGATTTATTGGCATTTGGATATGCTAGATATTTTTGACATCAATCCCCAAGATGAATTCTTCCTGAAGGTTCTTTGGCCTTTAACTGTCTTTCCTAATCGTCACACTATTAGTTTACTATTAGCAACAGGAAAATATTTGACTGCTAGTTTTCAACATTTTTTAGGTATGAACATTACATAAAAAGAGAAAATAGTTATTGAGTGGCTACCAGGTGCCAAGTTAGATGTATTATTTCACTAAATTCCCACGTGACGCCCATGAGGTAGGTGGCATTGTTACCTTCATTTTATAGATGAAGAGACTGAGATATAAAATGATTGAGTTGGGGGCGCCCAGATGGTTCAATCAGTTAAGCATCTGACTTCCGCTCGGGTCATGGTCTCGGGGTCCTGAGATCGAGCCCCGTGGCAGGCTCTGCGCTCAGTTGGGGGTCTGCTTGTCCTTCTGCCCTTCCCCCAGCTCGTGTGCTCTCCCTCCCTCCCTCTCAAATAAAATCTTTAAAAAAAATAAAACAATTGAGTTGTGTATGCAAGATCACCCAGCTAGTAAATGACTGAGACAGAATTGGAAACCAAGTCAGCCTGACATGAGAGCCTGTATTAGGAGGCCAGTGATAGATTTACTTGTCCTAAGAAGAAAGCTACCTAAAGAAGAAACATTTTCTTTCAAATTGTTGCCAAATTGCTTATCAGACAGAAGCTATTTGAGAATTTAAACCATTTAAGTGAGCTTTTTACAGCGTCTTCAGATTCGTTTGTGCATGCTATTCATCTGTGTGCTTTGCACAGGGCAAAGTAACCTAGCTTAGAATGTCGGAGTTCCAAATGACCTTGGGCAGACGTTTCTTCCTGTTTGCATTGGCTTCCCTATCTATAAGATGAAGATGTTAGACTTCGCGATTTTTCATGCCATCCAAAGTTCCTAACAGTGGCCGTGAGTTGTGGAACTCATTCAGAAGTGGGGGTCTTTGCTACAGACACAAGCAATGCCATGGGCAGGTCCCTACCTCTCGCTGGGCATCAGTGTTCTCATCTGTAAAATAAGGAGACTGGACTAGATTAGCTCTATTCTGACATCCAACAAAAACTGAGATAATGACTTGTTTTGCATATCAAGAAAATGCATTTACGGTCACCTCCTGTTGCTACAGGAAATAGCTAGCCATGAGTGGTGGTTAACTGCCAAAAGTAACCAGAGTGGGTCCTTTAATACAACAGTACGAACAGAGGGATTGATACCTTGGATGAGCCCTGTGGTACATCCAAATCAGAATTTTTCACAAGGGCCCAGCCATGATTGTGCCTAACAACTATTTCTTACCATGCTTTGCAGATCGTAGGTCATTTTGCCTAGAGACACAAAAAGGGATTTTTGTATAATACAGATTGCCTCTATCATGACATTTGATACGTTACCTAAAATAGAGTCCCTTTGAATTCAATACTTGCAAATTTGGTCATTGGATTTAACTTTTTGGTTTTTATTTGATCCAAATGAAACGTACATTATCTTTTTTTTAAAGATTTCATTTATTTGACAGAGAGAGACACAGCGAGAGAGGGAACACAAGCAGGGGGAGTGGCAGAGGGAGAAGCAGGCTTCCCGCCGAGCAGGGAGCCCGATGTGGGGCTTGATCCCAGGACCTGGAATCATGACCTGAGCCGAAGGCAGACGCTTAACAACTGAGCCACCCAGGCGCCCCAACATGTACATAATTTTAAAAATCGAAGAATACCACAGGGCTTATAAAACACAGTGGTCTCCTGCCCCACCACTCCTGACCCCTGATTCCTGCTCCCAGAAAAGATGCCCTCACCCTATCCCTGGAACCTGTGAAAATGTTATGTTACATGGCAAAAGGGGCTTTGCAGATGTCATTACGATTATAGATCTTAAAATGGGAAGATTTTCCTGGATTATCTGGGTGGGCCCAATCTCATCACTTGAGCCCTTAAAAGCAGAGAAATTTCTCAGGCTAGAAATGGAAGAGTCAAAGCACAGAAAGGTCTCAAGGTGTTGTCATGGGCTTGAGAATGAAGAGGCTGTTAGAAAGCGCTAGAAGGACCGAATCCTGCCAACAACGTGAAATGAGCCTGGCATCTGAATCTAACCCTAGCGTCTCCAGATAGGAGCCCAGCCT